AAGCTACATGGATGAATAAATTTCAATAAAATATAAGATTTGATCACTCGTTCTTTATGATTAAAAATCAGGACAGAACTTATGAGATATATATATATATATATAGCTGGCCACTCGTATTCGAGAATACTCGTCTACTAGATGGCTAGGCAATCCCTATTGCTGACGCTTGCTCAGGTGCATTTGTGTTTATTCGACACCCACAGAGCCCCCCTGTGGTTTATACTGCAACTATGCTGAGCAGACCTTAGTTACAGTTTCTGGGAGAGAGCGTGTTATCTAGCGTGATCAACAATTTGAACAAGGCGAGCCCGCTCAGGCCCTCAGCCACGATGACTTGTGGCTTCGTGCTAGCACAGCTATCGACGTCAATCCAACTTCACTCACAAGGCTTGGTTCAACCTGTGGTATGATTTTCAGATACTTTGCAAAGGTACTGCACGCTGGGATCGACCCCAGTCTCCTTCCTGACAAATCGGCCATGGTGAGATTCGAACCCGGGTCTCATGGTCAGAATGCGAACGTTCTAACCACACGGCCACTTGGTCACGTGCCCAAACTATATTGATGAATAAATTTCAATAAAATGTTAAATTCGATCACTCGTTCTCTGTGATTAAAAATCAGGGCAGAACTTATGGGATGACCCAATCAATTGTTAAATTGAAGAGTGGCCGTTCAAGGAAAATTTCATCACGCGGTTGGACAAAAGAAAAAAAAAGCGGTCAGAAACAATATAACCCATCAATCGGCGAAGAAGACCCGGATGTTAGACGTCTTAAATAAATCTAAAGCAACGGACCGTGTTTCGCCATTACTGTTAATATCTAAAGTTTGACAGACTCTTTCAGCAATAATCGTCAACACATTGGCAGTTGACCTAGAGACACATATCGCCGGTTAGCCAGTGGCAGCATACACGGCGGATTAAAGTATACATTTCTTAATCCCAATAATAAAGAACCTGAAAGTGCATTTGCGTCGGATAATATTATGAGAGTTCAAACAAGGGAATAACTCTACGGAAACTTCTAGAAAAATATGTGACATCTATGGTTAAGGAAAAGCTCACCACAGTTTAATGATCTCCTAGTACAGGGGTCAGCAAGCTACGGCACGTGTGCCACACGTGGCACGCCATACAATTTCGAATGGCACGCAGCCGCAAATGACATCACGAAGTCCGAACCAATAACTACTGCAACGCAAAAAAGATATTTAGCTATTTCATTTTAAATATATACTAAAGTATGTATACTATATTTTAGTATTATATATAATTATATATATAATTATGTATACTATATATTACTATATATATAATTGTATATATATATATATATATATATATATATATATATATATATATATATATATATATTGAACAGGTATATTGACCTTGACTTGTATAAAAATACGTATGCTCTTGGCACACTGAATGATTTTAAACCCCTAGGTCGTCACATAGTGAGCAAAAGGTTACCGACCCCCGTCCTAGTACTTAAAAAAAGATTTTTGGAATTATTTTGTGTATAAAGGTGTTGCGTTTTTTTTTTTGTTTGTTTGTTTGTTTTAACTACGGATGTCTATACACGACATTATCACGAAATACGAGCAGTAGTTACAGTAAATTTGAAATTTATTAGTAATTTTCTAACTTTTCCACAACACACATCTGCGTGAGACTATAAAATCAAAGTACCTAAAATTCTCTAAAATATTAGAATGCTTGAAATATTTCAAATTTTTAAGATTAAAATATTTTAAGGTTACTAGGTAGATAAAAAATATATTTATAAAAAGACGTTTACATTGTATTCGTCCTGCAACATTATTTCATTTACCTACGCCCTACCGAAATTTCCCATACATCAAGTTGATAGATCTGTCAACACCTCATAAAAACAAACACCTCAGTATCAAAAAATGCTTTTCTGTTATATTTTAACCTAAAAGTAACTAATATTTGTTTTAATTGATGTTAATTAAAGATTTTGAAAGATTCTTTTAATATAGAGAATTATCCTGTGTTGACAAGTTTGTATGGACGATTTTATTGATAATAAAAACAAATAATTCCAGTCAATTTGAATTAAAATTTTAAAATACAGATTGGAAATATTGAATTTAATTTTTTTGTTGGTTGTTTTTGTTTCGCAGCATGTCAACCTCTACGGATTATATTAATGCCAAAATCTAAATATTTTTTTCTTTTTTTAATAATAATGTTTTTTGTGATACAATTACTAATTAACCCATAGCTGGGGGATAAGAGGTAGTTTCATACCTATCCCAAGAATATTTGCGCATAAGTAAACATAACAAATCCAATTTTAACTCGAAATCGACTCTCCGGTTATAAATTGCGAGCAATTATCCATTGTAACACGCACACATCCAAGTTTACAGCACCTGTTATTCTCAAGCGGTCAACCATCTAGGTATTGACCATGCTCAACGTTGCTTAACTACAGTGATCGTACGGGATCGGTGTTTCAGGTTAGCTTGTAATTAAAACAAAGATAAAATATTCACATTGCGTGTTATTTTTTTTAGAGGCGGGGGGGGCTAGATAAAAGGGACAAAAAGAAAAAACGTAAAATTGTTCATATGTTCTGTCATGGTATCCTAGCATCCTTCTGTAAAGTTTCTGTTGCCCTCGAGTCTCTTTGTTCATCTGTGAGGATTGTCACCTGCCATATAGGAAGACTGATTTACATAACAGTTCAGGACTCTTTTTTTGTAGAAGCTTTCTAGAAGCATTATTTATTTGATTCAAGTTTTAATCTGTCCAGCATTCGCTGCCATATAGGAGGACTGATATTACATAACACTTCAGGACTTTTTTTTGTAGAAGGTAGTTTCTTCATCTGTGAGGAGATTGTCCAGCATTCATCTCATAGGAGGACTGATATTAAAGGACTCTTTTCTTTGTTTGCTTCAAGTCTCTTCTTCATCTGTTTGTCCAGCATTCACTGTCATATAGGAGGACTGATATTACATAACAGTTCAGGACTCTTTTCTTTGTAAAACACATTTCTATTGCTTCAAGTCTCTTCATCTTTCATCTGTGAATTCACTGCTTTTTTTTTTTTTCAGGACTTTGAAACACATTTCTATTTATTTTTTTGTCCAGCATTCACTGTCATATAGGAGGACTGATATTACATACAGTTCAGGACTCTTTTCAGTTCTTCTTTCATCTGTGAGGAGATTGTCCAGCATTCACTCTCATAGGAGGACTGATATTACATAACAGTTCAGGACTTCTTTGTAGAAGCACATTTCTATTCTTCAAGTCTCTTCTTCATCTGTGAGGAGATTGTCCAGCATTCACTGCCATATAGGAGGACTGATATTACATAACAGTTCAGGACTCTTTTCTTTGTAGAAACACATTTCTATTGCTTCAAGTGGAGATTGTCCAGCATTCACTGTCATATAGGAGGACTGATATTGCCTTCAGGACTCTTTTTCTTTGTAGAAACACATTTCTATTGCTCTTCTTCATCTGTGAGGAGATTGTCCAGCATTCACTGCCATATAGGAGGACTGATATTACTAACAGTTCAGGACTCTTTTCTTTGTAGAAACACATTTCTATTGCTTCAATCTCTTCTTCATCTGTGAGGAGATTTTTCACTGTCATATAGGAGGACTGATTTACATAACAGTTCAGGACTCTTTTCTTTGTAGAAACACATTTCTATTGAAGTCTCTTCTTCATCTGTGAGGAGATTGTCCAGCATTCACTGCCATATAGGAGGACTGATATTACATAACAGTTCAGGACTCTTTTCTTTGTAGAAGCATATTTATATTGCTTCAAGTCTCTTAATCTGTGAGGAGATTTTCCAGCATTCGCTGCCATATAGGAGGACTGATATTACATAACAGTTCAGGACTCTTTTCTTTGTAGAAACACATTTCTATTGCTTCAAGTCTCTTCTTCATCTGTGAGGAGATTGTCCAGCATTCACTGCCATATAGGAGGACTGATATTACATAACAGTTCAGGACTCTTTTCTTTGTAGAAACACATTTCTATTGCTTCAAGTCTCTTCTTCATCTGTGAGGAGATTGTCCAGCATTCACTGCCATATAGGAGGACTGATATTACATAACAGTTCAGGACTCTTTTCTTTGTAGAAACACATTTCTATTGCTTCAAGTCTCTTCTTCATCTGTGAGGAGATTGTCCAGCATTCACTGTCATATAGGAGGACTGATATTACATAACAGTTCAGGACTCTTTTTCTTTGTAGAAGCACATTTCTATTTTCATATTGTGAGGAGATTGTCCAGCATTCACTCTCATAGGAGGACTCTCTTCTTCAGGACTCTGTGAAGGAGATTGTCCAGCATTCCTGCCATATGGGAGGACTGATATTACATAACAGTTCAGGACTTTTTCTTTGTAGAAACACATTTCTATTGCCATATCTGTGAGGAGGACATGTCATATAGGAGGACTGATTTACATAACAGTTCAGGACTCTTTTCTTTGTAGAAACACATTTCTATTGCTTCAAGTCTCTTCTTCATCTGTGAGGAGATTGTCCAGCATTCACTGCCATATAGGAGGACTGATCATAACAGTTCATCTTTCTTTGTGAAACACATTTCTATTGAGGAGATTGTCCAGCATTCACTGTCATATAGGAGGACTGATATTACAACAACAGGACTTTTTCAGGACTTTCTCTTGCTTTCTTCTTCATCTGTGAGGAGATTGTCCACATATAGGAGGACTGATATTACATAACAGTTCATTTTTCTTTGTAGAAGTTTCTTTGCTTCAAGTCTCTCTGTGAGGAGATTGTCCAGCATTCACTGTCATATAGGAGGACTGATATTACATAACAGTTCAGGACTCTTTTCTTTGTAGAAACACATTTCTATTGCTTCAAGTCTCTTCTTCATCTGTGAGAGATTGTCCAGCATTCACTCTCATAGGAGGACTGATATTACAACAGTTCAGGACTCTTTTCTTTGTAGAAGTCTCTTCTTCATCTGTCTTCTTTGCAAGTTTTCTTCATCTGTGAGGAGATTGTCCAGCATTCACTGTCATATAGGAGGACTGATATTACATAACATTTCAGGACTCTTTTTGTAGAAACACATTTCTATTTGCTTCAAGTCTCTTCTTCATCTGTGAGGAGATTGTCCAGCATTCACTGTCATATAGGAGGACTGATATTACATAACAGTTCAGGACTCTTTTCTTTGTAAAACACATTTCTATTGCTTCAAGTCTCTTCTTCATCTGTGAGGATATTGTCCAGCATTCACTGCCATATAGGAGGACTGATATTACATAACACTTCAGGACTGTAGAAGCACATTTCTATTGCTTCAAGCCTCTTCATCTGTGTGGAGATTGTCCAGCATTCACTGTCATAGGAGGACTGATATTACATACACTTCAGGACTCTTTTCTTTGTAGAAGCACATTTCTATTGCTTCAAGTCTCTTCTTCATCTGTGAGGAGATTGTCCAGCATTCACTGCCATATAGGAGGACTGATATTACATAACAGTTCAGGACTTTTTCTTTGTAGAAACACATTTCTCTTGAAGTCTCTTTTCATCTGTGAGGAGATTGTCCAGCATTCTCTGCTATAGGAGGACTTTATTACATAACAGTTCAGGACTCTTTGTAGAAACACATTTCTATTGCTTCAAGTCGCTTCTTCATCTGTGAGGAGATTGTCCAGCATTCTCTGCCATATAGGAGGACTGATATTACATAACAGTTCAGGACTCTTTTTCTTTGTAGAAACACATTTCTATTGCTTCAAGTCTCTTCTTCATCTGTGAGGAGATTGTCCAGCATTCACTGCCATATAGGAGGACTGATATTACATAACAGTTCAGGACTCTTTTCTTTGTAGAAGCACATTTCTCTTGCTTCAAGTCTCTTCTTCATCTGTGAGGAGATTGTCCAGCATTCACTGTCATATAGGAGGACTGATATTACATAACAGTTCAGGACTCTTTTCTTTGTAGAAGCTTTCTATTGCTTTTCTTCATCTGTGAGAGATTGTCCAGCATTCACTGTCATATAGGAGGACTGATATTATAACAGTTCAGGACTTTTTTCTTTGTAGAAGCACATTTCTTATCAGCATTCACTGTCATAGGAGGACTGATATTACAAACAGTTCAGGACTCTTTTCTTTGTAGAAGCACATTTCTATTGCTTCAAGTCTCTTCTTCATCTGTGAAGATTGTCCAGCATTCACTGCCATATAGGAGGACTGATATTACAAACAGTTCAGGACTCTTTTTTTTGTAGAAACACATTTCTATTGCTTCAAGTCTCTTCTTCATCTGTGAGGAGATTGTCCAGCATTCACTGTCATATAGGAGGACTGATATTACATAACAGTTCAGGACTCTTTTTTTGTGAAGCTTTGTAGAAACACATTTCTATTGCTTCAAGTCTCTTCTTCATCTGTGAGGAGATTGTCCAGCATTCACTATATAGGAGGACTGATATAACAGTTCAGGACTTTTTTTTTGTAGAAACACATTTCTATTGCTTCAAGTCTCTTCTTCATCTGTGAGGAGATTGCCCAGCATTCACTGTCATATAGGGAGGACTGATATTACAAACAGTTCAGGACTCTTTTCTTTGTAGAAACACATTTCTATTGCTTCAAGTCTCTTCTTCATCTGTGAGGAGATTGCCCAGCATTCACTCTCATAGGAGGACTGATATTACATAACAGTTCAGGACTCTTTTCTTTGTAGAAGCACATTTCTATTGAAGTCTTTCTTCATCTGTGAGGAGATTGTCCAGCATTCACTGCCATATAGGAGGACTGATATTACATAACAGTTCAGGACTCTTTTCTTTGTAGAAACACATTTCTATTGCTTCAAGTTTTTCATCTGTGAGGAGATTATAGGAACTTTTCAGGACTCTTTTTCTATGTAGAAACACATTTCTATTGCTTCAAGTCTCTTCTTCATCTGTGAGGAGATTGTCCAGCATTCACTGCCATATAGGAGGACTGATATTACATAACAGTTCAGGACTTTTTTTTTTTGTAGAAACACATTTCTATTGCTTCAAGTCTCTTTCTTCATCTGTGAGGAGATTGTCCAGCATTCACTGTCATATAGGAGGACTGATATTACATCAGAGTTCAGGACTCTTTTCTTTGTAGAAACACATTTCTATTGGTCTCTTCTTCATCTGTGAGGAGATTGTCCAGCATTCACTGCCATATAGGAGGACTGATATTACATAACAGTTCAGGACTCTTTTCTTTGTAGAAACACATTTCTATTGCTTCAAGTCTCTTCTTCATCTGTGGAGGGAGATTGTCCAGCATTCACTGTCATATAGGAGGACTGATATTACATAACAGTTCAGACTCTTTTCTTTGTAGAAACACATTTCTCGGTCTCTTCTTCATCTGTGAGGAGATTGTCCAGCATTCACTGTCATATAGAGGACTTATTACATAACAGTTCAGGACTCTTTTTTTTT